GACGCGGGGCTCGAACTCACGGACCGCGAGGTCATGACCTGAGCCGAAGTCGGCTGCTTAACCGACTGAGCCACCCAGGCGCCCCTCGTGGTCTATTTGTTTTAAGCAAGTACTGTACCCTTTGTCTTACTATGGCTTTGCAGTGTGTCTTAGGACGGTCCTGACTCTTGGTTTTTCCTTTTTTGAAACCATCTGACGTAGCTATTTGGGGCCATTTATTCTTCAACAGAGGTTTTAAGATGAATTTGTCAAGTGTTTAAATCATTTATCCTCGTACCCTTTCCATACAATACTGTGCGGGGCGCAGAGGCTTAGCTTCAGGGTTATGGGGCTGAGAGCGGGCAAGTGAGATGCTGGGAATACAGACTGAGAAAGCAATAAAGTGCACACCAGAGTTCTATCAGGATCTCTATATATCAGACCCCCTGGTAATCTGTTCTGAGGCCAGCCTGAGGGCTCAGGTGCTTTACCTTGGGTGGAAGGGAGGGCCAAGGGCCCCTGGTGGCTCTGAAGCAGGGTCCAGAGCTGGCTGCGTGACGGCTTGGGAAGTCCAGCGTCCCCGTATCCAGTGAGAGAGGTTTCCTCACTTTGATCAGGGTTCCCTGAAGGCCCCTGGCCCAGTCCTGAGTCCCGAGGCCGGAGCACGTCGTGATTAAGAATGCGCGCCTTGGGGCGCCTGGGTGGCGCAGTCGGTTAAGCGTCCGACTTCAGCCAGGTCACGATCTCGCGCTCCGTGAGTTCGAGCCCCGCGTCGGGCTCTGGGCTGATGGCTCGGAGCCTGGAGCCTGCTTCCGATTCTGTGTCTCCCTCTCTCTCTGCCCCTCCCCCGTTCATGCTCTGTCTCTCTCTGTCCCAAAAATAAATAAAAAAGTTGAAAAAAAAATTAAAAAAAAAAAAAAAAAAAAAAAAAAAAAAAAAAAAAAAAGAATGCGCGCCTGGGTTCCAGGCCGCCTGGGTTCCAGTCCTCCGTGTTTACCTCCCACCTGCCCCACCCGCGTAAATGGCACCACCATCTAGAAAGCTGTGACACAGCCTCAGCTTTTCCCAACTTCTCCAAATTGTCACCTCCAATTAGCAAATCTGGATTCAGATTTGGGATTCCACATCTCCGGTTGTTCCCTTGAATCTCTACTTCCCTTCATTTCTGCCACCAGCGCTGTGGTCCAGGCCACTGATCACTGCCACCTCCCAAAGGCCCCCCGGCTCTCGTCCTGGTCCTACAGTTAGTTGATTTTCCCCCACTGAAGATAGATTGCATATGGGATGATATAATTCCCCACCTAAAATATTTAGTGGCTCTCTATGGGCCTCACACGAGGCTCAAACTCCTAAGTACGACGCTCCTTCAGACTTTATACTCTAAACCTGTAAAACCGTTTTCCATTTCTATGCCCTGTTTGGCCACTGGGCCTTTGCACATGCTGTTCCTTCTGCCTGGCGTGCCCACATCCTCACTCTGTCCCCACCTTTCTATAGTCAATCCCTATGTAGTAAAAGGTCTGTGCTTGAAGCTCTCCCCTCCCTCAGCACTCTGGCTCTCTCTGTGCTAAAGGCATATGGCAAAGGGTCAGCAAAATATACTAGCTGTGTGACCTTGAGTATGCAATTCATTTCTACAGTTCAGTTTGTCCATCTGTAAGAGGGACGCAATCAGTGATAAGTCCATTGCAGGTGGACACTTTATTTATTTCTAATTTGTTAATTTTTTAAAAAGTTTATTTATTTATGTTGAGAGAGAGAGGGAGGGAGGGAGAGGGAGAGAGAGAATCCTAAGCAGGCTCTGTGCTGTCAGTGAGAGCCCGATGTGGGGCTCGAACTCACGAACCGTGAGATCACGACCTGAGCCGAAACCAAGAGTCAGTCGCTTAACCAATTGAGCCACCTAGATGCTCCTATTGCTTTTGTAAAGTCAAGTCTATTCCCAATGTGTGGCTCGAACTCACTACCCTGAGATCAAGAGCCCCACACCCTACTGGCTGAGCCAGCCGGGTGCCCCTGGGTGGACACTTTAAAAGTCAATGTATGATTCATTATCTCGTAGGATTGGGGGGGAGAAATGAAGGACACAATTGCAGGCAAATTTCATAGATCAGTGAAGGCATAAACAGAGGCACAAGGGTCAGCTGTAGCCTTAAGGAATTGTCAGTGAGATCAGGCTCATGCCTCCATAGCTGACAGCTCCTTGAGGGCCATTTCCTTCCTTCTTTTTTCCTGAAGGGACCCCAACTTTGTTTGGGGGTGGCAATGTGCCCAGCCTTAGGGGATGTGCTATTTATGACTAGGCCGGTTTCGGTCATCTCATTCCCCTTTCCTAGATGCTTACTTTCCCAGCATCCCTTGCGGCTAGGTGCCCATGTGACTAGTTCTGGCCAATGAGACATGAGGAGAAATCTAGTCTTTCTGAATCTCCGTCTCTTCTAAAATGAGGAGGTGGGATCAAAAAGCAGTGATGCTTCATCTCCTCTCCTCCCCCTCTTTTAAGCAGAAGCCCTCTCATTTTGGCTCTAAACACAGTTTTAGGTGGAATCCTAATATCTATAGCAAATAAAGCACAATTGCTTGGATTGAAAGGGAAATGAACAGAGCGCAGGAACCCCATCCTAGCCTTCACAGGCAGTGCGTGAAGCACGTCTACAAAACATTTGGAAAACCACCGGGTGGGGGCATCTCCACATCCTGCAGTGGGCGCGTATTGTTTCATTTGTTTATGTCTTTGAACACCCATTCTAGCCCAGCATCCTGAGTTTTCCTCAAGAACCACCCCACCCCTCCCCTCGGTCCATACAATTCTGACGAAGTGAATCCGAGTTCCGTTCCCGGGCTGGCCATAGGATGTGGGTCATTCCAAACATTCCATCCCCCGGGATACAGTGACTGGTTCAGCTGTGTGCCCATGACCCAGTGTGGTCCAATGAGATTGAGGTTTAGGATTAAATACTAAAATGGAAGCGAGGCAGAAGCTCTGTTTTCCCATTGGATTTGAACCCCGGTACCATGAAACCCGAGAATAGAGTCCACGTGGAAGGGAACGGAGCCGGGAGATGGAAAGCGAACAGACTTTAGAGACTGTGAACCCCTGGATTAAGCTTTGCCTGAAGGCAAACAGCCCAACTGCTGGATTTGGGGGTTTGTGACTTAAATTCCCTCCTATGTAGTTTGCATTTCGCCTTCAGTGCAACCCAAAGAAGTTGCCATATGGGACCCAACAACGCAACCCAACTGGTACACATCTTTTCCAGACTCAGACTCCCGGCAACCCTGAGAGCTACCCTTCAGAGGAGGCTGTTCACAGCCTCTCCAGTTTTCCTCCTGGGCAGGCGGTAGGATTGCGCCCGTTCCGGGAATTCTGAGCGAGGGGTGGTGCAAGATGGCCTTGGCCAACGAAACGTGCAGAGAAGCGATGCGTCTCACTTCTAGGTGGGGTTCCTTAAAAGTCAGTGCATGATTTACCATTCTCTCTCTCTTTCCTTCCCATGATGACGTCCCAGACGGCGGAGGCTCCATCAGCCTGGGTCCCAGACCGAGGACAATGTGGAGCAGAGAGCCCTGCTGAGCCTCGATGGATCTGTACCGTGAGCAAGAAATAAACCTTTGTTGATTCCACCCGTGGAGATTTGGGGGTCATTTGTTGTAACGGCGCACCTTAGCGTATCCCAGCCAGTATACTCAGAACTCTTCTCCTTCTCTTCCCCCTTCTTCCCCGCCCAGCTCCCTGCCTCTTTCTCTCTCCCTTCCACTGCCGCCCGGCTCTGCCCGGCAGTCTTACATAACTCTATTTCTTAACTTCTCTTCTGTCAACAGACCTGTAAAGGTTTCCATGATTGTTCGTCTACTGCCTTCCCGGTGACATCCAAGCGGACATTGGCGGGAGATAACCAGCCTGCCCCAACAAAGCCCTGCCCCCTGGCCTCAGTGCCAGCACCAATCAATTACAGCAGTCAGCCAGCCATCCTCCCTGGCGCTGGCCTCAGCAGGCCAGCCTCCTAATCACATTACCGGACTCACACGGCTCTGAAGCAGGCCTTCTCCATTCATTATATTATGAAAACTGACAAACCCCTGAAGTTTGCGCTGTGGTATTCATCGCATAACGCTCTGCCAAGATTTAAAACGTCAACAATTAAGAAAAAATTACATACGTTGGCCCTCGTTGTTTAATAAGCCATTTCTAGAGCCGATCGGTTAATTAGGCCAAGGCCCAAGATCCTGTAGCCGGGGTGGAGGAGGCTTGGCAATGCCTTCGTTCTTTGGGAAGCAGGAGAGTGGCAAGAAAACATTCCTGCAGCTCGAGCGTGATCATCGTCATCGGCACGCACCACGCTCGGATTGCTCAGGAGTCTCGAACTTACCTGCCAACAGGGGCCAGACAGGGTGGAAATGAGCAAAGCGGACCCCACAGGAGGGGTGGGGACTGTAGGATACTTCGCGGTGATGCCTCTTCAACATTCGGTTCTAGCCGATGGCCGCCATACACGA